TGTAACACTGGCCACCCCAGAGGTGCTTGGCTGAGGGTCTGGGATGGCCACACTAGCCATTCCAGAGGTGCTTGGCTGAAGGTCTTGTGTGGCCACACTAACCATGCCAGAAGTGCTTGGCCGAGGGTCTGGCGTGGCCCCAGTGGCCCCAGAGGTGATGGGCTGAGGGACATCTGGGTTATTGTCAATATTTTCACCAATTCCATGATCAATAGTGGCCACATCAGTCTCAAATCCACTAAATTCACGTTCTATATCACTTTCCTCAAATAAAAGTATTAATACGACGAGGCATGAGTGAATCACGAGGCTTTGCCATAATGTTGACCCAAGATGCAGCTGAAACTAACTAGTGTTACCATGTGGTACCGCAGGGTCCCAATTTTTTTTCACATGGTGCACACTGAGTGTGCAGACCCATTCTCTCATGTCTAGGCCGCTCAGGCCTAATGCGCCAAATTTGAAAGCAGGAAAAATAAAACGTAGATATAAACCATACCCCGGCTGGGATTGAACCTGCGGTCAGAGTGTCTCAAAACTCCAGCCCGTCGCATTAGCCACTAGACCAGCTAGCCACAATAAGATTCATCCAACTAGGTATATTTCTACACCATAGGAAGGTTAGCACAGGCACCACTGTGACCACAAATGCAAGTTTTTACAGACGAATCTCCAGCTAGCGTGGCCGTGACGAACTCTAGCTCAAGTCCCTTCACTGCCGTCAACATGACTCACGAAATCGTAATGACACGATTGCAAACAAACCATACCCCGGCTGGGATTGAACCTGCGGGCGGCGGCAGCAGGCAGCAGCAGCAGCAGCCTCCAGAAAGATACAAACTAAAATTTCCAATAGGCTACAGAAAACAATATGATGTTCAATGAAGACAAATTCCAACTACTCTGTTATGGAAAACTGGAGGAGATAAAAATTAGAACTGAGTATACTACAAACTCTGATCATACAATAGAGCAAAAAAATAATGTGAGGGACCTGGGAGTGGTAATGTCTGAGGAACTCCTTCTCAAGGATCACAACAGTGCCATGATCTCAACTGCAAAGAAAATGATAGGATGGATATTGAGAATGTTCAAAACAAGAGATGCCAAGCCAATGATGATCCTTTTCAAATCACTTGTTCTCTCTAGGGTGGAATATTGCTGTACATTAACATCTCCATTCAAAACAGGTGAAATTGCAGATGTAGAGGGTGTACAGAGAACCTTTACTGCACATGTAAGTTCCATCAAACACCTCAACTACTGGGAACGCTTGACTTGTACTCACTGAAGTGCAGGCGAAAGAGAGAAGGGATATAGCCATTTTTGCTGTTTTTGTTTTAGAAGAAAGAAAGCAAGAAAAGACATTCATTATATACTCACCTATTCAGTTTTATTTGTACACACTTAACATCCTTGAATGCATATTTTTTTTCAACAAACCAGCCGCATCCCACCATGGCAGGGTGGCCCAAAAAGAAAAATGAAAGTTTCTCTTTTTAAATTTAGTAATTTATACAAGAGAAGGGGTTACTAGCCCCTTGCCCCTGGCATTTTAGTCGCCTATTCCAACATGCATGGCTTATGGAGGAAGAATTCTCTTTCACTTCCCATGGAGATAAGAGAAAATAAACAAGAACTAGAAAGAAAATAGCAGAAAACCAAGGGGGGTGTATATATATATGCTTGTACATGTATGTGTTATAGGTAGAAGGTTGGTAGACAGCAGCCGCCCAGGGAGGTACTACCGTCCTGCCAAGCGAGTAAAACGAAACCCTGTAATTGTTTTACATGATGGTAGGATTTCTGGTGTCCTTTTTTTCTGTCTCATGAACATGCAAGATTTCAGGTACGTCTTGCTACTTCTACGTACATTTAGGTCACACTACACATACATGTACAAGCATATATATACACACCCCTCTGGGTTTTCTGCTATTTTCTTTCTAGTTCTTGTTCTTGTATATTTCCTCTTATCTCCATGAGGAAGTGGAACAGAATTCTTCCTCCGTAAGCCATGCGTGTTGTAAGAGGCGACTAAAATGCCAGGAGCAAGGGGCTAGTAACCCCTTCTCCTGTATAAATTACTAAATTTGAAAAGAGGAACTTCTGTTTTTCTTTTTGGGCCACCCTGCCTCGGTGGGAAATGGCTGGTCTGTTGAAAGAAGTTGAAAGACATGTATGTGTAGTGTGGCCTAAGTGTAAGTAGAAGTAGCAAGACATACCTGAAATCTTGCATGTTTAGGAGACAGAAAAAAGGACACCAGCATTCCTACCATCATGTAAAACAATTACAGGGTTTCATCTTACACTCGCTTGGCAGGATGGTAGTACCTCCTTGGGTGGTTGCTGTTTACCAACCTACTACCTAATTAAATACATATAGTCGGACTTGAGTCCTGGAAATGGGAAGTACAATGCCTGCACTTTAAAGGAGGGGTTTGGGATATTGGCAGTTTGGAGGGATATGTTGTGTGTCTTTATATGTGTATGCTTCTGGACTGTTGTATTCTGAGCACCTCTGCAAAAACAGTGATAATGTGCAGTGTGGTGAAAGTGTTGAATGATGATGAAAGTATTTTCTTTTTGGGGATTTTCTTTCTTTTTTTTTGGGTCACCCTGCCTCGGTGGGAAACGGCCGACTTGTTGAGAAAAAAAAAAAAAAAAAAAAAAAAAAAAAATGAAGGGAATGTATGAAAGTATAGTAGTACCAACACTCTTATATGGATGTGAAGCTTGGGTGGTAAATGCAGCAGCGAGGAGACGGTTGGAGGCAGTGGAGATGTCCTGTCTAAGGGCAATGTGTGGTGTAAATATTATGCAGAAAATTCAGAGTGTGGAAATTAGGAGAAGGTGTGGAGTTAATAAAAGCATTAGTCAGAGGGCAGAAGAGGGGATGTTGAGGTGGTTTGGTCATTTAGAGAGAATGGATCAAAGCAGAATGACATGGAAAGCATATAAATCTATAGGGGAAGGAAGGAGGGGTAGGGGTTGTCCTCGAAAGGGTTGGAAAGAGGGGGTAAAGGAGGTTTTGTGGGCTAGGGGCTTGGACTTCCAGCAAGCATGCATGAGCGTGTTAGATAGGAGTGAATGGAGGCGAATGATACTTGGGACCTGACGATCTGTTGGAGTGTGAGCAGGGTAATATTTAGTGAAGGGATTCAGGGAAACCGGTTATGTTCATATAGTTGGACTTGAGTCCTGGAAATGGGAAGTACAATGCCTGCACTTTAAAGGAGGGGTTTGGGATATTGGCAGTTTGGAGGGATATGTTGTGTATCTTTATACGTATATGCTTCTAAGCTGTTGTATTCTGAGCACCTCTGCAAAAGCAGTGATAATGTGTGAGTGTGATGAAAGTGTTGAATGATGATGAAAGTATTTTCTTTTTGGGGATTTTCTTTCTTTTTTGGGTCACCCTGCCTCGGTGGGAGACGACCAACTTGTTGGAGAAAAAAAAAAAAAAAAAAAAAAAAAAAAAAAAAAAAAATGTTTATTGCCCTTGTAGTCAAAAGTTGGGCATGAGCATGCCCAAAATGCTCTACACAACCACTGGGTTTCTACATGTACTCAAGTGTTGCCCATTTCTGTATAAACAAAGTATTATGTAGAAATAAACTTGAATTTGTATATAAAATCCTTAATAATCAGGGAAGGGGTGGGTCTCAAACCCATAGCAAGCGAGTCTTAACCCTTTGAGGGTCGAGAGGCCCTCTCCTAACTCGTTCTTAGGGTCAAAAACTTTTCGGGAAAAAAAAAAAAAAAATTTTTTTCTTACGAAATGATAGAGAATCTTTTCCCAATCATAATGACACCAAAAGTATAAAATTTGATGGAAAACTTATGGAATTATGCTCTCGCAAAGTTAGCGGTCTCAACGATGTTTATGCATTGGCGATTTCGCCGACTTTGAGTCCTATTTTCGGCCAATTCCTGTGCACTAGTCAACAAAAAATCATATTTATTTGGCAAGAACTCCACTTTTTCTATCGAATAAGCACAAAAAAAAAACAACCATTTACCAATTTCAACTGCCCAATAAAGTGGTTAGAAATTGGCAATTTTGCCAATTTCACACAAATTTCAGAAGATGACAATTTCCAAATAGGGTCCAGAATAAACAAGACAGACATTCCTGGAACTAAAATAACAAGTTCTCTGTTCATTAGTCACGTCCCCACTCCCCTCTTACATTTCTTTTGCTTTTCATTTTGAATTTTTATTCTCACAAAAAATAGATTTACTGTTATGCAGACTACTGCATTAGTGTAGAAATGGTATAAATAATATCAGCGCACTTGTGAAAGAATATTAGACTCACAAGTTGACGTGTATTGGACGCTTGACATGATTTGTTTACTTTTGAACTTTGGCAAAAATCGAACATTTCTGCTACTTTGAGCTCAATTTCAAGGTACTTTTCATTGTGAAACCAGTCAAAATCATCTCAATTTCTGTAATACGTCTTCCATTCTATAAAATGAGACCAGGAAAACTAGAATACAACCATAAATACCATACAAAAATACAGTGTAAAGTTGCTGTTTTAATCCAAAAACACCGTCAAAGTTTTTTTTTCTTATTACCCACTGTGTGCTGCAGGATTTTTTTCATACTGCGCACACTGACCACAGACCCATTCTTTCATACGTAAGCCTACCAGCTTTCTCTCGCTAGATTTGAAGGCGCTAGAATTTAGGCATTCTAGTACGTCAATAACCCTGGTGCGTAAGCCATACTAGTACGTTGGAAACCCTGTAAGGGTTAAATCTCTCAGTCCAGTGTGCTAACCACTAAAGCACACCTACCTGATAGGACAACACATTGGCCTACAAGATTTAGGACTTGCTTGTCATGGGTTTGAGTCCAATGTGCTCTCCAATTTATTACTGATGCCATCTCATAATAATTTGAAAAACCAGAATCTTCATGGTTACAGAGACAAGAAATGACAACTTGTGTCACCAGTGTCATAATCCTGAACAATCTGTGTCACTTACCAGTGTCATAATCCTGAACAATTTCACCCACTGCTTTAATTGCCAATGAATATTGATTATCTATGCCAGGCTGACAGTAATGTAGAGAAGCTGGGGTGCGGGGATCACCATTTGAGGCAGTAAAGTCGACAGCAACAGTAAAGTGTATCTCTGTGCCGCCGCGGATGTAGTCAAGGAACGTAGGCTGCACGTGACAGGTGATGTGCTGTAAGGTGATCTTTCCTGAGTCTTTGTAGCTAGACTTTTTGGCTTTCTTCTTGGGATTGATAAGATGATAAACATTAGTGGTCCCTGGACCTTCTAGCAACCTGAAAGAAAAAGTCAGGTTTAATTTAATAGAAAGCATGATGTAAAAATATAAGTGCTACAGCATACACCATTCAACCCTTTCACTGTCCAGACCCCAAAATTAAAAGAGCTCAGTGTCCATGTTAAAAAAAATCTGAAAGGGTAATGTTTTTCTTTAGGTAATGACAATAAAAATAGCATAAAATTTGATAGAAAATTTACATAATTACTGTTATGTGGTTATAGGAGCTACTAGAAGAACCCTAGTTATACTGGAGTAAATACCTATGTTGCAGGAAATGAGCCTATCATTTGTAATACCTAGTTATATTGAACTGTTGAGGACACAGTTGGCTTGATTCTGGCATAAGAATGATTATATGTAGGAGAACTGGAGTGCTATCCTTACAGTTCAACACTTGTAAACAAAACAAATAATGTTAGAATAATTATACGGTGGACCCCTGGTTTACGATATTATTTCATTCCAGAAGTATGTTCAGGTGCCAGTACTGACCGAATTTGTTCCCATAAGGAATATTGTGAATTAGATTAGTCCATTTCAGACCCCCAAACATACACATACAAATGCACTTACATAATTGGTCGCATTGGGAGCTGATCGTAAACCGGGGGTCCACTGTATTTTATAAGGAGTACTTTAAAAGTGTATTATTATTAATAAGGTTAAGAGTATGGTAGCATTAGCGGAGGAGAGCAAAAGAGTATTAATGCAATAGTTGAGAATAACTGAATGTTGATTTTTTTTTTTTTTTGCTAATACTTTGTGCAGGTGTGGAGATGCAACTGGCTGCTTCCCTCTCTTGGAAGCCAGGCTGGAAGAAGCAGATTCCTTTGGGCAAGAAATGAGTTACCAAGGAGATAAGACCTATGCCAGAGTTTTGTTATAGAGTTAAATGTGCCAGGGTTGCTACAGTGTATCAAAACACTGGGTTAAGGCAACCAGGAAGGAAATATGGAAAAACTGTTCTCAAAATGGGCTACTAAATGACTGGGGCCCAGACTTATGGAGTGGTTCCCATGTCCATATGCTAGGAGATTGTGTATTCATAGTTGCTAAATGTAAGGGATAAGCCGTACTAATTGTCATATGCACAATTTGCAAATACTACTTAACCATAAAATACAGTGGACCCCCGCTTTAAAATACAGTGGACCCCCGCTTAACCCTTTGACTGTCGCAACCCCCAATCCTGAGATGTCTCCTGGTGTCGCAAAATTTAAAAAAAAAAAAAAAAAAAATTTTTTCTTATGAAATGATAGAGAATCTTTTCCCGATTGTAATGACACCAAAACAACGAAATTTGATGGAAAACTGACGGAATTATGCTCTCGCGAAGTTAGCGACCTCAGCGCTGTTTACAAATCGGCGATTTCGCCCACTTTGAGCCCTATTTTCGGCTAATTCCATTGTTCCAGTCGCCCAAACTCATAGCTATTTCTTTAGAACTCCATTTTTTCTATCGTTTGAGTACAAGAAACTGCCCATTTACCAATTTCAACTACCTAATAATGTGGTCAGAAATTTGCAATTTGGCCAATTTCACGAAAACTAAAAAATATGACAATTTCAAAATAAGGTCCAGAATGAACAATGCAGACATTCCTGGCTCTAAAATAACATTTTCTTTGTTCATTAGTCACATCTCCAGTCCCCTCTGATATTACTCTTGCTTTCTGTTTTGAATTTTTATTCAAACAAAAAATAGAAGACTTACTATTATGCAGACTACTGCAATACTGTAATAATTGTATAAATAACATCAACCCATTCATGACTGCATATTAGAATGGCTAGTTGGACATTTATTGGACAATGGCATCATTTGTTTACTTTTGAACATTGGCAAAAATCAAACATTTCCCCTACTTTGAGCTCCATTTCTAGGTTCTTTTTATAGTAAAATCAATCAAAATCACCTCTATTTCTATAATATGTTTTCCATTCTATCAAATGAGACCAATAAAATGAGAATACAACCATAAGTACTATACGAAAATAGACCACAAATTCGGCATTTTAATTAAAAAAAACGGGCGGAGTTTTTTTTTTCTCATTATGCACTGCGTGCTCCAGGATTTTTTTTATATGGTGCACACTGACCACACAGACCCATTCTCTCACATGTGGGCCTACCAGCTTTCTCCTGCTTGATTTGAAGCCGCTAGAATTTATGAGTATATATACGTCAAACACGGTACCTCGTAAGACGTATATATACGGCCGCGACAGTCAAAGGGTTAACGATCACCACCCAATGCGACCAATTATGTAAGTGTATTTATGTAAGTGCGTTTGTACATGTATGTTTGGGGGTCTGAAATGGACTAATCTACTTCACAATATTCCTTATGGGAACAAATTCGGTCAGTACTGGCACCTGAACATACTTCTGGAATGAAAAAATATCGCTAACCGGGGGTCCACTGTATATAGGTATTCGTGTATACAAGTAGTATAACTTTAACCTATTGTCTGAATTGAAGAAAGGACAAGTTTCAGAGGATGAGTTGAACTTGTAATTGATGTATTTCCCTAGGCCTCATTCAATTCAATTCAAGTTTATTCTCTATAAGGGTTACAATGTGGGGTTTACAGGTTTTGGGTATTGTGTGGTTTACATGTTATAAAATACTAATTACATGATAACCACCAGGTGGTTATCATGTAGTTAGTTGTCGGGGTGGATCAGGGAGATGAGAAGTTTTCTAACTGTAGTTTTGAAAGTGATGAATGTGTCTGCAGTTCTAGAGTTTTCAGGTAGGGTGTTCCAGATTTTAGGGCCTTTGAAATACACTGAATTTTTGTGAAGGTTTAGTCAAACACAGGGAATGTCAGAGAGATGTTTGTGTCTGGTGTTATGCCTGTGGATCCTGTCACAACTATCAAGAAAGCGTTTTAGGTCAAGGTTAATATTGGAATTTAAGGTCCTGTAGATATAGATTGCACAGTAGTAAGTGTGGATGTTCTGAACAGGGAGTAAGTTTAGATCTATGAAGAGTGGGGAGGTGTGTTGCCAGGGATGGGATTTAGTGATTATTCTAACTGCGGCTTTTTGTTGGGTTATTATTGGCTTTAGGTGTGTTGCTGCAGTTGATCCCCAAGCACAGATAGCATAGGTGAGGTATGGATATATAAGTGAATGGTATAGTGTGAGAAGGGCAGTTTGCGGTACATAGTATAGTATCTTGGAGAGGATCCCCACCGTTTTGGATACTTTTTTTGTTGTGTGTTGGATATGGGTGCTGAAATTTCAGGTTTTTGTCGAGGTATGGGCCCAAAGGGGAATTGCCCTCATTATGTCTGTCAATTAGGTTTTGGGTCGTTTTTAAATTTGTTAAGCTGCGTAACACCTGCTCTGCTACCAAACATAATTTTAGTAGGTTTTGCCAGTGTTAAGTGTAAGTTTATTGGCTGTCATCCAAGTCGATATTTTGAGAGCTCCTCTTTTAACAATGGTGTCGAGGGTGGCAAGATTAGGGTGGGAGATGACATAAGTCGTGTCGTCAGCAAAGAGAATGGGTTTCAGGTGTTGGGATATGTTTGAGAGATCACTGATGAAATAAAGGAAGAGCAGGGGTCCAAGGACACTTCCTGCGGAACTCCAGTATCAAGTGGCCGTGTTGATGAGGCTGTGTCTTTAATGGTGACATACTGATACCTATTAGAAAGGTAGGATTTAAAATATGCAAGCGCATGGCCTCTTATACCATAGTGGTCAAGTTTGTGGGGGTAGGATGCCGTGGTCTACTGTGTCAAACGCTTTTCTTAGGGCAATAAAAATTCCTAGCGGATATTCCTTATTTTTTCCCAAAGCTGTGTAAAACAGGTCTAGCATTTTTATAATTGCATTCATTAGTGCTTTTATTTTTCCTGAATCCAAATTGGCAGGGGTTGAGTATGTTTTGTGCCGTTATAAATGAATATAGTCTCCTGTGCACGAGTTTCTCGAAGATTTTGGATAGCAATGGTAAGTTTGATATTGGCCTATAGTTGTTTACGTCTGTAGGGTCACCACCTTTATGTATTGGTGTAACCCTTGCTGTCTTGAGTAGTGTCGGGAAAGTGCTAGTTTCCAGTGACTTGTTTAAAAGTAATGTGATAGCATGCGAAAGGACATGGGCCGCTCGCTTGTACAATAATGGTGGGAAGTGAGAGATTCCCCGAGTTATTTTTAAGTGACTTTATGATCGCGGTGACTTCCGTGGGCTCAGTTGGTACAAGATAGAAGTAATTTGGGAAATTCCCATCTAGGTAGTCCCCGGCACGGGCATTGATACGTGGGATTTTACTGGCGAGATTAGATCCTATGTTTGAGAAGAAGTCGTTTATCTTGTTAGCTGTATCAGTGGGATGCAGTGGTGTTTCATGAGGTTTAGTTAGAACAATATTCTTGTTTTTTTTCAGTTTGTGGGTCCCCAGAATCTGGGAAAATGTTTTCCAGGTCCTTTTTATATCTCCTCTTGTGTCAGTGAATCTGCTGGAGTAGTATAGTTGTTTGGCTTTATTAATTTGGTGAGAACTGTTGAATATTGTTTAAGAAAAATCTTTGTGTATTAAGCCCTGTCTATATTGCTTTTCATATTGGTGTTTCTTATCAATGGATTTCAGAATGCTGCTGGTTAGCCATGGGCAACCAAGCCGTTTATTCGTGATCTGTTTCGTTTTTATTGGACAATGTTTGTTGTATAGTCTAAGTATTTTGTTAAGAAAAATGTCTGTCCAATCGTCAATGCCATTGGCATTGGAGAATTCTGTAGGCCAGTCAACAGTTTCCAGGTCTGCTGTGAAATTCCTTATTGAGGCCTCATCATGGAGTCTAAATGAAACTTCGTTGTATTCGAGTGGTGGTTTACTAATGTTTGTTAAGAGGAAGGTTGGGTAGTGGTCAGTAGTGCTGTCTGCGGGTATTAGAGAGCTATTTTAACCAGAGCATATAGTGAGAAGGACCCTCAACCAACGTAACATGGGAAGCTCAACCGGAAGAGTCATCTGATT